ACTCATTTGTCTCTAAGTGTTTTACAACTGTAAGCTCCTTTGCGACATGCACTCCAAATTTCCACCCGTCAACATTAATTTTAGTGTGTCATTGTTATTATAAGGTATCAAATCGTCTGACAATTCATCCAATAACTTGCGTGGATCCCAATCGCTGACTGAAGTTTATCAATAATATGATGACACGCACTATAAAGCCCTATTCAGTACGAAACCATAAAAGCCCATTTTATATTTGTCCTAGCATTTAAGATTATTGGTTATGTTAGATTTGTTGACTTAGCTTACCATCAACTAATTAGCTTGAATACTTCGAGTATATAAGTGACTTTCCTTGTAGCAGTTTCAGTTGGCGTAAGATATGTATGAAGTAACTAGAGGAATTTATGACGGTAAGTAAATAGCATAACGAAAATAACTCGAACATACACGAATGACAACTATCCCTTCAAGTAACTTTTGCTTCATTGTTCTGAGATAAAACCAGGTGTAAGTTGGCCTACGGGGGACAAGAACAGGTCTACTAGGATGATATTTAGCCGAAAGGACATAATGACCTCACGATGTTATATATATATATATAACACTGAGTTAGCCCAGTCGCCAATTTGATATAACCTTGTCTGGTTGTAACTTTCTGAGTCATGTAATTCTGCTGATTCAGTCTTAACACTGACATTGTACGTGATTGGTCTCACAAACACTTGGTTAGTCTTGTATGCTGACCGATCCACCCACACGATAAGTCGCAGCGATTCGGCCCTCCCAAAGGACCACTTAAAACAGAATACAAAGTGTTGTGGCTTTTGTCCGTATGTATTTTCAGATGGCCTGATTCACTTGTATATACAACTAAATTACTTGTCCGACCACAACGCAGTACAACTTATATAAATGAAACAACCAATTTCAAGCTTAAAGTGAATAAAGTGCAATAATAAATTTCACTCAATATGCTATTATGTACGGATGACGTGTCGGTCCCACTAAACTTTAGTAAAGATCAATGACGTTCAAGTATGCCTTGACCAGTGAGAAGCAAGAATATGAAGGAAACAGTAGCTATTAAGGTAAGCATTAAACTTTATTTGTAATTTACCGATCTGTTTTACATGAGAAATGAAGATATCTGGATCTTATATTGGTTCACCATTTTCGAAACTATACAGCTGTCTTCATTGCCACTAGTCCATATCATTTAAAAGGAATTTGGGAAACTTCGCTTCGTGATCCCGTCAAAAATCTTGAGAACTTTTGAAGACGACTGCATATATTTTCAAAGTTGTTTGCATGCGCTCCAGCTGTTCGATTAAAGAGGTGCTTTGAGTAAACAAAAGCTTGGTGAAGGTGACCTATCTCAGATAAAGGCATAAATGAATCCCAAGAGTCTGTGTATACTGTGATACCTAACGCTACATAGTTCTAAACAACTACTTCGATGCATTTTCTGGTCGGTCCTTTATCCACTACAAATGTCCCTTTTTCGTATTTTGGTCGCATATACCAAGAATCTGTGGTGTGACGAGACAAATGTATGTAAACATACATTAGGTAAGTTATAACTTACTAAGTCCTGTTTATGTTATATTCCTAGATTATATTTAAGTTTCCGAACAAGAAATTCATCTATTTCAAACACATTACCTTCTCCGACAAATTTCACATACAACCTACAATGTAATCTTCGTCAATTCATCGAAGGTATATGCACCTTTGATTACCATCGCACTGATGGTATCAGTTACTTTCAGGCTAAAGGCATTCTAGTTTATTTGAACAGAAGACAACAACAAAATGTTGCGCATGCGTAATTTATCCAAATTTCTGAAAAATTGGAACAGCTTATCTGTTGATTCGTGAATTCATATTAACTGAAAATTAACAGGTGACTAGCACATTGTAATCGCTTTCACGGTATCCATGGAATCCTAGTGTTCATCATTTGACAATTCGAATACAGCGTCCACCTTGAATTCCACGTTGCATCCGACACCAAAAAGTTGAGTTATCAGCCGCTTTCGAGTATAATGGTTTTGGTGAATATGATCTATGTGACGTCTTCTTTCAAAAGCGACTGAGAGAGGTATTCATGTTCCTTCCCACAGCTTTGAAGAAACTTGAGTTCTTAATCATATTACTCCACTTTTAACAACGTATTTTTCTACTCCTGACACCTTATAATTTTTTGTTTTCAGTCGTACTTAAGTCCCCCATGTATCTGGCATGCATAAATGTAGCATCATTCCTCTTACTTGTTGGGTGTAGACTAGATGAAGAAAGACTCAGTAATCAACCTCTCTTCTATGTTGAAATTAAGTACAGCGGTGTCACTCACCCCCTAATGTGCTACAGCATGCATTGAAATACCTGAATTATTTCCCGACATTATTGATCCTATTGGGGTTTGTCATTCTATATCTGGCTAAATTCCTATGTTCCGCTAATCTAAATGAGACTAATCAGCTAGTCTGATATCACATTCACTGCATGGAATTCGGTCGATTAGATTGTTTTGCCTGAATGGTTCTATCGGTACTTCAACAAACAAAGCTCATCTCTGAGTGAGTTTTTAGGTTTAAATGACATCCTAATTCCAACTTTGTTGAGAATCCTACACAGTTTTTGATGTCCCTTCCTCATATGGCTTTAAACTCCTTTCAACTGGTGTTGTCGCTGTGGTTCGTATTACTGTTATTATTTCGTTTATTATATGTTCGTACAAATTCCTCAATAAACTGCAGGCGATAATTACTAACTAGTAAAGTCTTTTATGTTTTTCGATTCCTTGTCCCTGCACTGACTAGCTCTATTATTTAGACAGTTAACTTTTTTCAGTATTAAACTATAATGTGCTATAAATAATGACCAATTTCTACTGATCGAAACTGTAATGTTGTTACGAAGCTAAGAGGATCACTACTGCAGTACAATTAGACAGATGGCAGACGGTTGGGGGCACGTAGCAAGTAACCATGCACCTAAGTTTTTTACCTGTTGATACTTCAGTGAACTCGAGTGCATTGATACCGTCTCAGAGATGAGAACATAGGCATTCGTGCATCGTACTGAAAAACATGTCTTCACTGCATTACCTTCCGTAAGCTAGTACGGACACAGAATTTCACTATGCAGTGCATTCTGTCTGATGGTTGTATTCAAGTGGTGGAGAAAGGAAAACCATATTCAGTGCCAATATTACCCCTTCACTTATTTATATACACATGAAAACATTCTCTGCGATGTCGATTATATCATAGCGATTTGTAGTCAAATAACAAGACGGCCTCAATCAGTTTGAACTATGAAAATCCTAAAGACGCGTATGGCTCACTCGGTTCAAGAGCTTTCGATTAACCCGTAATCCATTCATGTATGACCAGTAGCTCGAACGGTAAAAATTGTATATTGAGTGAGGACAATCCACTATTGTTGTTTCATGATGAGTTGTAGTTAAGCAATTCAGTTGTCTTATACCGATGAGTCAAATCACCTGAGATCCACAGACAATGAACACCAGACTTTGTGCTCTGTTATCGCCGAACAGGTTAGCGTGGAATCACGTGCTTCATTGTTTGTGAATTCAGTATACAAGAAATATGACGTGTGACTTTAGCGTTAGGACTGAACCACCATGATCACTTAAATCAGACAATCACACTCAGGCATCGTTATAAGTTGACAGCAGGGTTAACCCATGCAAATGAAATAATCCAGTAAACAAGATACTTTAAAGCTATGCGGATTAGTTCTAACACTGAACTTCAAACAAAACGAACCAACTGAAAACAAGCACCACAAATCCCAACAGTTGTTACATTTTAGCATCTTTAAATTTAAGCGAAGGGCAGGGGCTTGGAACTACAGTAAGCTTTTTTCAATAGTTGCCTTCAAGAGTGTATCAACTTAGATTGATGAGTACACGCTTGAATAGTTTTGTATTCACTTCTTCTCTTGTTACAGAAGAGATATTTTCCGGTTGACAACTCAATAATGAACTGAAAGTATATATGTCTTTTGACAAAAGAAATTAAAAGGTGGTATACAAAAGGACTGAATAACCACAAACACTCAATAGCAGAGTTACAGATAACATTCCAAGTGAAACATGAGGCCAACTGCAAGCCGTAGCAGAACCCAGATTCTCCAACAACTCCACTTATTGTAGTAGGCACTGGGAAGTAAACATTGTTGATCAGTATGCGCGACAGATAGGATGCAAGCTAACCAAGTATATATCGATTGGTCAGGAGACAGAAACCAATCTCATGTTGTCCAGCTCTGAATACTGACCGAATTCTACCAATTATTTTCCAATGTCGCCATTAGGCTAGAAGGCTTACCAATGCAGTGAACTTTGATGGAAGCTAGTTGACTAGAGGCAGTCGGCAAGAAGTGGTGACAGTAGCCACATTTCAAAATGACCAATAGAATTCGATCAACACTCAAGACCACACAACGTGATATTGGTTCCCCCCTCTAGTTATCGATCAGTTTATCTAACCCAGTCCTACAGGAGGTCAACCACTGCCCACATAGCCCAGTGGTAGCGTAGCTGGCCATACTAATGGATGAAACGAGTTCAAATCTTCGACCTTATATCAGTTTCCTCACGGCTGCATAGGCATACCTTGCTGATCAGTGTCAACAAGCATAACATGTACGTCGAGCAGGGCATCTTGTCAACTGCCTGGAACCAACTAAAATCACAAGCATTTTTATTGATTCGACTTATAAGCACTTTATAAAAGTTAAAGGAAAAAAGCTTCAGAATATGTTTTTTCCTCTTTTAAGAAAACTAACAAACATCGAATATATATATATATATATATATATATATATATATATATATATATATATATATATATATATATATATATATTACTGATGTCAAATGAGAGTGAAAGAGCGAAGAAAGGTTTAAAAAAATGCATCAAAATCATAGTGTATATACACTGGGAAAAAGTCTGTAGAATAGGTTTGCTCCATTAGAGACAATCACCTTAATTAGTATAAGGATCATGGTGATAACACTGGTGGTATAATACAGTAGCCACATTCCAAGTATCATGCAAAACCACCATAATTCGTATTGATAAACGAGATAAATCCATTGGCGTGCAGTCAATTCTATTTACGAAAAGGAAAAAAAAAGAGAAAGTGGTTGAAAGAAATAACATTAAAATCAATCTAGAGGTTTATGAGGACCCATTGACTGATTCCAAGTTAGTAGTCATCATGGATGGATAGCCACTGAAAACCTGGGAGTACTCCATAGCTATTTTGTCCCACCTCGAGATCCCTTAGCAGTGTACACCCATAGCTCTACCCGGCCAGATATCGAACCTAGGGCCTCCGGGTTTTGCAGCAAGCACGTAACAACGAGTTAGCCATTGAGTCGGAATCGAATGGTCTACATATTCCTACTTGTCATTTCGTGATAAAGCACGACATTCAGCCTATGCACACCTTTTTACACAAGTTGATGTACCTCACATATAATCAACATATAGATGTGGAATAAAGTGACTACCCGACTACTGAGAAGATGGGACGGTATGGAAATGTACAACCGGTTGACCAAGTTAAAGACCCAGATTAATGTGCTGTAGTTCTATACACTAACACAGATATACCTAAAACCGGTAAACTGATCTCTGTTTTACTTTGACGGGAGGATCTACGGTTTCAGTCGGAAATAAAATCAACATTTATATATGCTATAAGAAAACCAAAAGAGATGCACAAGTTAATTAAGTTGATTGTGAACCATGTCCAGTAGACAGTTGCTACCATCATGTAGTGGTCGGGCCTGCATATCACAATGACCCAAAGAGTGACACTGGTCTTACCATGCCAGAAACCTCTGCTTATAGCAGTAAGATGAAAAGCAGTTACTGTTGTAGTGCGAATTGCTAGATTATGATGGGGGGTGCAAGGGCCAAGTCGTACTGCTGCTAGCTGGATGGGGCATAACAGTAACAAAGTGTTTCCTCAGTAGTGCTATGTTGATGCTGCTTTCCCTACGGGGAGGGAGAGCTCCACAATTTTCCGGTGCCGGCGGTATGGGTTTTCTCTACCCAGCGTTAACATAATCACGTTTCAAACCAAAAGTCCTGAAAAAGCTGTGTGACAGGCGTCAAGCCGATGTCCCTTATGCTCTGAGGTCATACAAACATTCTTCTCTTCCAGGTACCAGAAGAAATAGCCTTCCATGGTGTGGAAAGCCAGGAAGTGTTAAGTGGATGCACGCTTTCAATGGTATACAAGACCCAATCAAACGTAACCTATCCTATTTTATGAACCATGTATGAGTGTCTATGATTACTCCAACTGAAGTAGTTAAAGAGTAATTGGGACTCGGGAAAGATTGGTTAAGAATCGAACACCTGAGTCGATTGAACTATACTTACGATTCGACATTTTGTAATTCATCTATTCGCTCAATCATACGATAAACAAAACAAAAATATGAAGGTTCTCCTCGAAGAAACTAAGAAATAACACTAAACAATTTCAAATTATCAATACAATCAAACTGATTTCACGAAAATAAAGAGATAGACGGTGAAATTGGTTATGATGCGAATAACTACTCGTTGTATTATCCACATAACTCTTCAACCATACGGGTTTAGGTTATCAGACAATATAACTGAAGTAAAAGTAGTTGAGTGCCTACCAATCGAGTATGACAATACCGAAATGTAAAATCTATGGTGCAGAGCCACTATACTGAACAAGAGATGATCAAAAGCCTCTTACCTTTGATTTCAGAAAATCATCAGTTGTATCAGAGTAAATAAAAAGCATTTTACTTTCTCACATAAGAAGCTGTTGAATGCATATGAAAGTATGAAGAAATAATCATATCGAGAAGATTAACAGTACTCAGTAAAATGTAGGTGGAGCCATGGCTCACTGGTTTACATAGATGACTTTCAAACAACAGGTCATGGGTTGAAACTCCATTCCGCTTATAGACGTTTCAGCAGTCAGATAGTATCATTAACCCTCACGCAATAGGTGTGGCTCACTATCTACTGAAGGAATATGCACGTGATTGCTGAGTGCATTTCCATTTCGAGGTAGTATTCATCACGGATTGACATTAGTTAGAGAAGCATTGAAAACCTGGGAGCGCTAGACAGCTGTATTGTCCTAGTATGAAACTGCTCGACAGTACACACCTACAACGCCGCCACGGGTCGAACTCAAGACCTATATGGATAGTGACGAGCGCTTTAGCCACTGAGCAACTTGGTCAGAGTTTAATAGCCCACAGTCTCCCGAAGTCCGTATGAGAAGCCATGACCTGAGGAGTAAATCAGTCGGAAGCATAGCGGATGCCAACCGAAGACCTTGGTGGATTGTCGCGTTACATCGCAAACTGACAGAAGTAAGAAACTGTGGACGATCGGGTTCTGACTCAGTGGCTCAGTGTTTGACAGCGAGATCCGAAGGTCCTGAGTTCGATCTCTTGGACTGTCCAGTGCTCCCGGGTTTTTAATGGCTTAGTTCTTAAAAATAAAATCTTCATTTACCTCTAACTAAAAATTACGCACCAACGTGGAAACTCGTGTAAATGTTGACACAGCAAACCATAACAGCACAAAAAAGGAAATGAACAAAATTACAAATATATCCAACTGAGAAAGCATGATATGAGACAAAAAACACATTAAGAATGACACGATATTCAAGAGTTGAGTACATCTGAGGCTCTATGGTTGCCTCAAAGGCATGATACGGAAACTCTTTAATACAACTGATCCACAAAATATGAAGGGCAGCAGTAAACAGTTCCACGACACAGATTTCATGAATTAGCGCAGTGACTTGACCTCATCATCTTTAGCTTCTTTTCAATAAAATCTTACTTCAACTAACTTCGTTAAACGGGGTGGGTGTTGCTTAGGCATGTGTCAAACATTTCCTTACTATCACAGTCGACGCCAGCTCATAAACTTACCGGATGATTCGCCCTCTTTGACAGATAATTAACATTGATTGGTCACTGGGGGGGTGATAAACTTCCTACTATCTGTTCCAATATGTGCTGATCAAATTCTATCCACCATTTTTACAATGTGGCAACCAGGCGAGATTAAATTCACCACCAGCATGCACTAAGAGAGATGCTAGTTAGATAGAAGCAATCGACATTCGTCAACCTCGACAGGACTGTCATGTCCTGCCTCAGATTCGAACCCACATCACCCAGTGTTGCAGCCAAAAACATTACTAGTTAACTATTCAGGGCACGATTGACCTCCTGTAGGATAAGATTACATACATTAATTGGTCACTGGAGGGTAAAAAGCCTGTAACCTGCACCTTCAGCTGTTAAGCTTTTTCACTACTTATATCAAATGTAAACAACTTGAAATTATTACAACTCTATCCGAATACTATACCAGAAAAAGCAATAACAAAAAATAACAAGTGTTTTATGAAACTTGTTTCTTCTTTATAACGAATATAAAGAAGAGAAAACAGTTATATACTTAGCAAAGATTACTTTCTGTTTCTAAGCTCTTGAATCACAACACTTCGAAACACATGTAGAAATGCGTGCACACACACAACAAACATCAGATAAGCTCATTCATCGATATTATAATCACACAGACAGTATGAAGAACCTGAATTAGAAAAAACACAAATGAGATAGAAGAGGGTGGCAGAAATACCACTGAATGCACGTACATATATATATATATATATATATATATATATATATATATATATATATATATATATATATATATATATATATATATATATATATATATATATATATATAATTGCATGGCATTTACAACTCCCAAACTGACAAGGCTCATCTAAAAACTAAGTTTCATTTCAAACAAAATGTATGCAGACAACTGTTGTTGTTACTCTTGGTTCAAATGTGTACCAGTGTGTGTATTTCCGTTTGTCCAGCAGCAATATGAGAAGACAAACAGGTCACAGAACCTTGTGGTGATGGTGATCGTCTTGGATATCCAGTATTATCTTTTCGCGTTGAAGAAAGTTAGATAATTTAGCACACAAAACTGAAAACTGAATTTCTCACAGATAACAGGAGATAAAGGCAACGACATTGAATGAACCGAAATCCACTCAGTAACTGTGTACACATTCGTGCAGCAGGCAACCAATCATACCTATTGTGTGAGGGTGGTGGAGAGGTGTTCGAACCCGCTGTATTGTGGTTGGAACCCAACTCCATACATTGGATGATGATCGTGCAAGGTAGTAGTATCCTGCTAGTCATGAGGACTGATGGTCCTGGGTTCCGTCCAAAATCGAATCGTGATTATGCATTAATGAACATCCTCAAACTAGGCTGAAACATCTATCTAGTGTTCCCTGCTTTACAATGTTGACATGTGATGAAACTGCTTCGACATTAACCAATTATCCATAAACCTCCCGAACGCATTTTTCTCTTTACGGATTAAACGGCAAGAAGAAGACAATAGTCGGTGGAAACATCACCGAAAATGATCCTGATAACTTGCCAGAACAGGCAGTTAAAATGTTGGGCAGAACCGTTTGAAGCACAGTTCAACTACGCCTCACTAACGTTTCAGTTGCCCAACATCCAGCCACAGCTAGAATGGAGCGTAGATATCAGTCTTCCAACTTTTCTTGAAGTTGAGAAATCCGTATCAAACCTGAAACGATACAAAGCAGCAGGACTTGACAGTTTTCCAACCGAAGTATTCAATGATGCAGTTAGAAAACGGAAGCTCAAAAGGACTGAGGTACTGCGTAGTGTAGGGGAATCAGAAGCAGCTTCTTCAGACTAGTCTACTTTATTCATCATTCCATTTTATGAGAAAGGTAAAGTTATCCAGTGACAACCATAGGTCAACCAGTTTGACTACTATAGTGTCCAAAATTCTAAGGTTCTTAGGCATTCGATGCCGAACTGGAGCTCGAGAATAACAAATGCAAGAAAACTAGGTAGGTTTCAGATCTGGACGAGGATGTATAGGTCAGATCAGACCTGGGACCAGACAATGAACTCCAACCGTCGGTCTGGGTGGCGTGGAGAGATGCAGACCACCTGGTTGAAGTCCCTGAGAAGACAGAAACCACTGGTTGAGGAATGTTGGTGA